TGGAAGAGATGCCTGATGCGCCAGCAGTAGTAGAAGTCACTGCAGAAGCTTCGCCGTTGCCGATACAGCCGCCGGCCCCTCCTTGGCCTGCATCTGCGACGGGAGAAAGCAAGGATGCGTCTACGGCTGCAGAACCGTCACCCAAGTCCACCACGGGTGTGGCACAAAAGTTTGTGGATCTTCACGTTGACATGCCTGCCAAGCTTGACATGAGCAACGCTACCAACAACACACGGGCCCTGACACCGGGGTCCACATCAGCGATTCTGACGGAAGGAAGCGCTGTGCAATCGCCGAATACCTTTACAATCGCCTCGCCCTTTTCCCCCGCGGTAACGAATGCGGTCAAGCCGACCCCAGCGCGGAAAAAGCTCAGCTTGAGCGACTACACCAAGAGCAGGGCCAAACTAGCGCAAACACACTCTACAGGCTCTGCTTCCACCCCTCCACTCACCTCGCACCCCACCAGCTCCCCGACGCTCTCGGTTGCGAGCCTTGCGGGTAGCACACATTCGCCGCCGCCCAAGGCGGCAGACCGCGCCTTGACACCCGTAGCGGAGGATGCAAAGCCCATGGAGGCGAGCGCGTCGACGGCCACGACTGTGGTGTCTACTTCCACTTAGATATGAGCAAATGACAATTTTTTAGTCGCGATACCCCACTCCTTTTTTTTTCTTGTGCTGTGCTGTGCTGTGTTATGCTTGTGCTTGTGCTTTTTTTATACCTGATTTTGGGTGGGTTGGGGATTTGGGATTTGGGGATTTTGGTCTCGTGGCCTGGGCTATTATTTTAAATAGCTCTTGTATATATTGGCTCTTGCCGTTTTACCAATTTCACTGATTCTTACGCCCATTGAGCCTTGTTTTTTTTTCAGAGCGGGCGGGTGAGTGTGGAGTGGAGTGGAGTGGACAAGCTAGTCGGTGAACAAGAAGCTTGGTTTTTTTCTTCTTTGGTGCCAGTTTTTCCCTTGAGCTGCTGTTTTCTAGACGTTGATTTTTTTTTGGGGGGGGGGGAGGGGGATGCTTGGGCGTGTGCGGGTGGAGTTTGGGGGGTTTATGGGGTTGAAGGGGCTTATGGAGTGGGGAATTAGGAAGGAAATGGGTATGTGGGATTTAACATGCTTCCTTTGTGGGGTTTGGAGAAGGGGGAGGGGGGTGAAAATCAAACGGGGTAGGGGGGGCTTGGAGGGAAAAGGAGAAGGAGAAGGAGAGGGCGAGGGAGAGGGGATGGGACTGGGAAAGGACGAGCCCGCGGCGGCGACGTCGCCAGAAGAAAC